ACAAGGTCTTGCTCTGCAGTTCAGGCTAGCCTTGAGCTCACTTTGTAGCCCAGGCTGGTCTTGAACTTGCAGTGATCCTCCTGCCTCAGCCTCCCCAGTGCTGGGATTATAGGAGTGCGCCACCACACCTGGCTGTTGTGTTTTTTTTACCACCACGCCCGGCTAAAGAGTATATATTCTAAGGAGCAATTCTCAGGGATCTGAATCTGTTGATTGTTTCTTCTAAGTTCCATTCATACTTCTGTACTGTCTCGTATATTTTATATCTTTGTGGATTTGTTCAGGATTTGGTCATTGGAGCCCTACAGGACTAACTTGAGGGAAGTCTTTGTCTGGAAAGATTTTGCTCCTGCCTCTGCTGGTTACCAGGTTATTACACATCCAAGGAACACATTAGCCTTTTCCAAGTGTTTCATTTCAGAACAGGAGCTGGGGAATCAGTCCTTCCTCCGTTATTTCAAAGATCTGTATCTCCTTCAGCTTTGATTCATTACAGCCCTGCTCCTTCCTGCAGCCTATTCCTGCTGCTCCCTGTCACTCTTACTCTGTGCTTCTCTGACTGCTTCTGTGCAGACTGAACTTCTTTATTTCACTGATCCTGCAAGGCGTGAATTTCTGTTCTGGCTCCAGGCCCCTAACGCCAGACTCTACCAGTGTTAGAGGCCAGTATCTCTCATCTGTTTTTGCCTTTGACAGTGGTTGATCCCTGGAGATCTCTATTGCTGACTAAGCCAGCAGTGCCTGAACAAATGTGTGTGTATGGGTCTGAGCAGGACAGATTAGCGTTGCTCTGAGTCTAGATGACACAGTGTATTGGAAGCTGAAGTCCTTGGTGTGGAATTTTTCTTTATTATTAAAGACAACATTTGCCATAGCACGTTCGTGGATGCTTACTTTTCAGGATATTAACAAGTTCTGTACTAAGTAATGGGTTTTATGGTTAGTTTTAGAACTTTCAGTTAAAATAGTTTTTTTCAAGTCTTCTCAGAGCCTTTAATATATTAATAGTCATCATAAATATCCAAAAACAGTATATAGATGTTGATACTCAGAGCATGCAGCATCTCTCAATTCCATCCTCTTTATAAAGCATCTTTGGAATTAACATTTCAGTGAATATACTGGAAAAACTTGTTCAGAATGATTGCTGTGTTGAGAAATAACAGCAAATATGAAAATACTGATTTTTACTTTGAGAATTTATTTCTTTACTCTCTGTAAGAGGACTGGAAAATATAAAATATCCATAGTCAGTTCCTCATTCCAACATGTATACTATGGGACCGGAAATATTGGGAATAATTTAAGAGAATTAACTCTTTTTAGTTTGTTCAGTAAATAAGGTGGACTGCCTTGCTCCTTCTAAGAGCAAAAGCAGAAACATGATCTTGGGAGAAAAGTAATGTCTCATAATCCAGACTCTTCACAAGATCTCCAGCTCTTCCACTCTATAGAGAAGCACAGTAGTGTAGTATTTAAGCAACCTGGCCTTGCCACCTTTCCTTTGGTGGTTTGAGGATCTCCTCAGGAGACTGGATCCTGAAGGACAGCTTAGGAAGCATCTTTGGATTGTCCCAGACCAATTCTACATAGTTTAGGAAATGCTGAAGACCTAGTCACTTATGTGATGAACTAACAGTTTATTCTTCTTGTTTTTTTTTCAGATATTTTCTACAAAGTGGAAATGCCTTCCCAGTACTGCTTGGCCTTGCTAGAACTAAATGGAATCGGCTTTAGTACTGTGGAATGTGAAAGCCAGAAACACATCATGCAAGCCAAACTGGATGCGATTGAGATGCAGGCCTATCAACTAGCTGGCCACAGTTTTTCCTTCACCAGTGCAGATGACATTGCAGAGGTGGGATCATGGAGACAGGAAAGTTAGACAATAATTTTTTGAGTTAAAATTTAGTGTTTCCTACATGTGTTTACCTGAACACCAAAAATGAGTGGAAGTTAACCAGAATGGGAATAGCGTATTCTAGCAGATAATTAATAACTATGCGTGTATTTATGAGCTAGGAAGGTAGAAAAGAACACTTCTAAAGCACACGCTTCAGGAGATTTGGCTGTGTCAGCGGAGAGACTCACTACATGAGGTGTGATTGAAAAATACAGTGAAATTAATTTTTTTAAAAAATTATTACTGTAAAGGATACATTGCCATTTATCTCCCTCAAATACTCCTCACTTCAAATACATTTATCCCTTCGTTCTTCTGACTTTCTCAAGCTGGTGTGGAGGTTCCTCTTTTGTGTTTTTAGTTGTGCTTTGTAGCTGCTTCAATTCCAGATGTTTACCTCTCATGGTCATTCTGACTGTGGGGAAGGGCTAGAAGTCACACGGGGCAAGCTGAGTGAATAAGGTGGATGGGAGCACGCTGTTTTCATGAATCTGCCTTTCCATTGCATGGCCTTCTGTAGCAGCATTCCCCGTGTTTTTTAATCATACCATGGAAGATACATGTAAGAAGACTTCTAGAACTTGTTGAAAGCAGTCCTAAGAGAGTTTGTAGCTGTGAATGCCCACATCAGAAAAAGAGTGAGCCCAATAAATTAATAACTGAAGATACACCTCATGGATGTGGCAAAACAAAACAGTCCAACTCCACAAAGCTCGTACAAGGAAGGCAATTGTAAAGATCAGAGTGGAAATTAATGAAATTGAAATTAATGAAAAGAAATACAAAGAATCAAAGAGCTAGGTCTTTGAAAGAATAAACAAAATAGACGAACCCTTGGCTAATCTTACAAAAAGAGAGAAAGATAATACCCTTATCAATTAGAAATGAAAGAGGTAAAATCACAATGGATGCTGCTAAAATCTATTTTTTTTTTGTTAGTTTTCTTTCTTGTACTGGGAATTGAACTCAGGACCTCACACTTGCCAGGTTGGTGCTGTGCCGCTGAGCTCTGTCCCCAGTCCAGTGTTTTTTTTTTTTTCTTTTCCTTTTCTTTTCCCTCCTCTCCTGTCTACCCTCCTTTCCTTCTTTCTCTCCATCCTGAGCTGAAAATTGGGCTCATGGCCTCATCCATGCCAGAAGTGTTCTAGCACTGAGCTATAGCCCCGGATCCAATAATGCCTTTTGATAGACAGAAGTTCCTCATCTTAATATAGTCCAGTTTATCCATTTTTTCCTTGAAGGTAAATTTTTTATTTTTTGGTCTTTTTGAGACAGGGTCTTGCTATGCAGTTCAGGCTGGCCTTGAGCTCACTTTGTAGCCCAGGCTCTGAAATCTAAAAGATTATTAGTAGCAACTACCTCAAAAACCTGTAGTCCAATAAATTGCAGAATCCAGAAGAAATGGACAGATTCCTAGATACATATGGATTAATAAAATTGAACTAAAAAGATTTAAAGAGCCCTGAATAATCCAATAATGGGAAATGAAACTGAGGCAGTAATAAAAAGCTGACCAGCTAAGAAAAACCTAGGACCTGATAATTCAATGCAGACTTTTACAAGAACTTCAGGGAAGATATAATGCTAATACTCCTTAAATTCTTTGATCAAACTGAAAGGGAAGGGCTATTGCCAAACTCATTCCTGGAAGCTAGCATTACATTGATCCAAAAGTGGATAAGGACTCAACTGAAAAAACTACAAACCAATCTCTTTAATGAACATAGGTTCAAAAATCCTCAACAAGATACTGGCAAATATAATGTAAAAAATCATCAAAAAGCTCATACATCATGAGCAAGTAGGATTCATCTCAGATATTCTAGGATGGCTCAACATACACAAATCAATAAATGCAATACATCACATAAACAGAAGGAAGAGCAAAGATCACATACATGATCATCTCAGTAGACACAGAAAAAGCCCTTGACAAAATCCAACATCTGTTCATCATAACATTTTTTAAACAGGAATAAATAGACTATCTAAATCTGATAAAAACCATTTGTGATAAACCTGCTGCCAATGTCATATTGAATGAGTAAAAGCTGAAAGCTTTCCTTCTAGAAGCAAGAACAAGACAAAGATGTCCACTGAAACTTTAGCTAGAGCAACCAGGCAAAGGAGAAAGAACTAATAGGAAAGAAAGAAGGCAAACTGTCCTTATACCCTGATGACATGATCCTCTACATAGAATATCTAAAAATTTCCACCGGAGCCTTCCGAGAACTGATGAGCAAATTGAGCAGGGTAGTAGGATACAAAACTAACACAATAGCACTTCTGTACATCAATAATAAGCCCACTGAGGAAGAAATTAGGGAAACAATACCACTCAAAACAGCTTCAAGAAAAACTAAATACTTAGGAACGAACAAAGGAAGTGAAAGACCTCCATTACCAAAGTATAGTAATCTGGAAAAGGAGGTTTGAGGAGGACATCAGGAAATGTTCCTGGCTAGGTATAACCATTACTGTAAAAATGGCCATACAAGCCAAACTGATATATAGATTTAGTCTGATAATCAAGATACCAGCAGCATTCCTTACAGAACAAGTGAAAACAATCCTAAAATTCATATTAAACCACGAAATAAAGCAAAAGCAGTCTTGGGAAACAAGAACAAATCAAGAGGCATCACCATCCTGTATTTCAAGTTATGTCATAAAGCTACAGTGATAAAACAGCATTGTACCATCACAAAAACAGATGTAAACCAATGGAGTAGAGTAGAGGATGCAGAAAAAGCCCCAGACATATTCCATTATCTGATCTTTGACAAAGGGAACAAAAACATATGTTAGAGGAAAGATAGCCTCTTAAACAAACAGTACTGGAAAGACTGGCTGTACATATGCAGAAGGTTGAAACTGGACCTGTATCTCTCACTGTGTGCTAAACTAAAATCAAAATAGATCAAAGATCTAAATATTAAAATAGAAATAATCTTCTGGAAGATAAATAGGTCAAACTTTTGAAGATTTAGGCATAGCCAAGGACTTTCTGAGCAGAATCTTATTTGTGCAAGAAATAACATCAAGACTCAAGAAATGGGATTATGTCAAATTAAAAGGGTTCTGCACAGCAAAGGAAATAACAGAGTGAAGAGACAACTCACAGAATGAGAAAAAATTTGTGCTAGCTATTCACTGGACAGAATACTAATCTCTAGACTACATAGAAAACTAAAACAAAAATCAGATCCCCCGCCCCACCAAAAGATCCGATCAGAAATGGACAACTAAAATGAATAGACATGTTTTGGCCACTAGAGAAATGGAAATTAAAACAACTCTGAGATTTCATCTCTTCTAGAAAAAATTACTATCATCAAGAAATCAAATGATAACAAATTCTGGTGAGGCCATGGGCAAAAACAAACACCTCTACACTGTTGTTGGGAATGTGGCAATTCCTTGAAAAAGTAGAAATTCCTGTCAACCCAGGTAGCACCTTCCTAGGCATCTTCCCAGAAGAGTTAAAGACATATTATAGTGCTACATACATACCCATGTTTATAGCAGCACAACTAATACAACATCTTGGAATCAGCCTATATATTTATAGACAGCTGAATGGATAAAGAAAATGTGGTATGTATACACAATAGAATACTACTCTGCCACAAAGAAGGATAAATTTGATTCATTTTAGGAAAATGGATCTAACTTGATACCATAATGTTAAGTGAAATAATTCTGACACACAATCTTAAAAATTGCATAGTTGGAGTATAAATAAATTAAAGAGCAGTATAAATAAATAAAACTAGATAATAGGAATCAGGGAGATAGATCTTTTGCAGGTGGGAAGGAGTAAGAGATGGAGGACAGGGAGGAGAAGGGGAAGCAAAAAGATGTGTTATGTACATATACCAACTTTCCATGGTGAGTGTAATCATTCATGTACTGCAAACATGAATGAATAAAAAATTTTCTTTAAAAGAAAGTGGAAAGAGCAATGGGTGTGTTTGAAGTAAGAGAGAGTATTTTGACGGGGATTACTGGTAATTTTTCTTTTACCATAATAGTTTTTATAGTTAAACATTTGCCAGACATATACAGCTCACCTATCTGTGAGACAAATACTTTGTAACTGTAGTGCCATAACAAGGTAGCTCTGCCTGCATAGAGTTAGTCCTTTCATAAACCACCCCACCTGGCCTCAGCCATCATCTTTGTTCAAGGTAGGAAATTGGATATTTTTCTGAGATGCAAACAAGAGAGTGTTTGTGACTCCTTTTTGTAAACCTAGTTTTTTGTCACCTACGTAAACTGTGAGAGCTATACCCCTATTTTATTTTCACTGATTGGTATTGTGGTCTCTCCTGTCACCCAACTCTTTCCTGCTCAGGTGGGTGGGTGCTTTAGATGGGGGTCAGGCGCACTTCTGTGTCTGTGCTCCTTGTCTTCCGGATGACTCAGTGATGTGGCCTGTGCGCGTGGTCGCAGTGTTTAGAGATGGTGCTGCCTCCGCCACTTAGGATCCAGGTCGTGACTTTGGGCCAGTGCAGTGATACTGTGACTTAGTTTCTTCATCAGTAAAGTGAGGTTTATGATAGAAATAGCTCATACGGTTGTCTGAGGTGTGAATGATAAACGCAAAATGCATAGAATAAAGACTATCACATAGTAAGTACACAGGATGTGTTATAACTACTTTAAAAATGCCCGTTTTTAAACCATGGTTACATTTTTTATTGAAAACAATAAACCTTATTTCCTTTAATCATGTAGTATATTGATGAATTCAGTGAAATTTGGTGGTGCTGTGTGTTTTGAGACAGGGTCATACTACGTAGTTCAGGCTGGCCTTGGACTCACTATGTAGCCCAGTGTGGCCTTGAACTCCTGGTGATTCTCCTGCCTCAGCCTCCTGAGTGCTAGGATCACAGGCATGTACCACCATGCTCACATATGTGTTGTCTTTTAAAATTTTTAGCCTGTAAGTCTTCAAGTGAATACTTAGCTGATTGCACATGGAAGTATGTAGGAAACTTATCAAAAGCACAGAATCTGTGGGTTTCAGCACAAGAAAGGTTGGGGCCAACACTGGAATTTGTGCCCTTGTGATTCTATGAATCACAGGCCAGATCTAACTCCAGGCTAAAGTAGATGGCCTTTGATGTTACACTGGCTCCTTCTTACATCTTCATAAGAAAATGAAAATTTTCTGGAGATTTTTTTTTTTTTTTTTTGGTGCCAATTGAACTCACAACCTTGTGCTTGCCAAGAAAGTGCTGTGCCACTAAGCTATATACCCGGCCACTGGAGAGGTATTTGGTGTATAAATTTTTCACAAATAATTCTGAAGAAAACTTGTTTTTTTTGTTTTTAAATAAAAACTTTATATTGAAATTACCTCTCCAGGTAACTTCCATTTTTACACAAAGACCTAAAAGTTCTGAATACACTTTGAGAGACTGAGGCAGGAGGATTGCAAGTTTGAGCCCAGCCCAGGAAACATAGGGAGACCCTAAGCCTTTTTTATATATTTAAAAAGCTTTCTAAATATTAACTTGAAGTGTTTGTGTTGTTTTACTCATAAGTCTCCCTTCTTGGGACTATTGCTTTCTTGCTACTTTCATAATATTCCATTTCCCTAGTTAGTTATTTCATTTTTTCCTTCTGTCTTTCCATTCATATACCTTTGATATCTATGTTAAGATGTCCTGAAAACCAGGCTGCCCAGTTCCAAATTTCAGTTTCAGATAAACAACAGATAATGCTTTTGTAACTATGGTCCATGTCATTAAAACTTAACTATTAGCATCCTGAAATTTTATTTGCTAAATGTGGCAGCCCTAATCTCTGTGTGTCCATATACTCGTATTTATATAACACAATTCTAGGGCTAAGTCTTTACCAATATGCATAGTAACCTTTAACATATAATACCTTTCACTCCCAAGACCATGGTTGTTACCACCCCTACTGTAAACTGGAGTCAGATCTTTCTGTCATCACTACCATCTTGGGGGAGGCACAGACATATCTTTCCCTCTCATCTGGTCCAGCTTGTGGGGGGGGAAGAAATCTCCTAATTATGCAATTTTTTGTCAGGGTTCTTGTTGCATGGAGTATTGTTTTCCATCCTTTTACTTTAGTCTACGAATTTCTTTTTGAATTCAATGTGTTTCTTGTATGCAGCGTATTGTTGGTTCTTGCTTCTTGATCCATTCTGCCAGTCTGTGTTTTTTGATTGGTGAATTGATACCCTTAACATTGATTGGTATAACTGATATGTATTGACTTATCCTTCTCATGTTATTTTCCTGTTGTTGGCTCCCCCCACTTTTTTCCCCTCCTTCTGTTTGCCTTGCCTGGTGGATTCATTCTGTTGGGGTTCATGGAGTTAAGGTCCTTGTTATTTCTTTCTAGAATGTCCTTCAAAACATTTTGGAGTGCTGGTTTGGTGGTCATAAATTTCCTCAGATGTTCTTTGTCATGGAACTATCTTATTCCTCCATCAGTTCTGAAAGGTAGTTTTGCGGGGTACATCAGTCTGGGTTGAAGATTGTTTTCCTTTAGAACTTGAAATACTTCACTCCAAGCTCTCTTTGACTTGAGGGTTTGTGCTGAGAAGTCAGCTGTGATTCTGATGGGCTTTCCTTTATAGGTGATTTGTTTCTTTTCCCTAACAACTTTGAAGATTCTTTTCTTGTTTTGAATTTTTGGAATTTTGATTGTGATATGCCTGGCTGTAGATTTTTTGATTGTAGCCAATTAGAGTGCTATATGCCTCCCTTATTATGCAAATGATTTTAATTTTCAGAATTAATATTGGCAAATTAATAATCCAAGGTTCACTAAAACTCATGCAAGGAATATAAGTGAAAGAATAGGCATAGTAAATAATGTCCTGAATTGTCTGGCGTGTGACCCCTCTAATTTGTCTTAGGATTCGGTTCACATGGGATCTTCTCTCTGCCCCAGAGTCTGGATTCCTCCCTATGGAGGTCTAGCTTCTTTAGTGGGTGCTTCCCTTCCACTCTGTAACTTTCCTTAGGGCCACATTGGATTGGTACTGCCACTTAACTTTTTGTACCTCAGGACCTTTAGGTCCAGCATTGTGGTAGGGGAACTCAATAGCTTCCAGACCCTTCCTTATGGTGTCATGTGATTTTGTCATCATAGGGTGGACACACATGCTTCTGTGTTGACTTTCAAGGGAGGTTTCATGTTTGAGGAGCTGTGCTGGGTATCACTTCAGGAGGCATTTAGGACAGCATATGATCCTCAGAGCATCCTCAAGTCTCAGTGTCAGTAGCTTATTTGCCAGTTGCTCAGCACAGTGTACACATGCTTGTGTTCTTGTTGAAAAGCTGTATTATCTAATAGCATCCAGATCAGGGTAGGGGCAGCTTAACCTGACACATACATTTTCAGTCCCATCATTTGTTAAGACTGGTAATCCTAAATTGGCCAACGAAAGTATCTTCCATCCCATGTTAAATTGTAGAGATTGTTTTCTCAAATAACTTTAAAAAATATTTTCTAAATGACAGTACTTGCCATTTGATTCTTGAATAAAGGAGCAGTAATATTTTGCAGGTTCTGTTTTTGGAATTGAAGTTGCCGCCAGATGGAGAGACAAAAATCCAAAGCAGCAAGAAAACCCTGGGCTCCACCAGAAGAGGGAACGACCGGGCATACAAGCAGAGGCTGGGGAGACGATTCAGCACCAGCAAGGTGTGTTGTGGGGACAGTTACAGGGCAGAATCTTAAACACGTTTAGCATTTTAATGTCTCAAAAGAATGTTGATGAAATCAAGATCTAACATAGCCCTCTTCAGCTTATTTACTTATAGGCAGGCAAATTGGTTTGTGGCTCAGTAACCCACAAAATCTGGGCATGAAAAATCAGGACCGTTAACTGAGTCAGCAGGTGCATTTTTCATACCAAGACAGTATAAAGTAGAACAGTATAAAGTCTTAAACGTTATTTAATGATTGCCAACCACTATTCTTGGTCTTCTAGTACAATACAATTTGAATAGTTATATGGATATGGAGACTGGAATAGAGAAAAGAATAATTTTTTTTTCAATTTCAGGGGGAAGTAATAAGTTTTCTATGAATTTATTGAGAATATAATCTCCTGTTTTCAAAGGAAATTTGCTAATGATAATCCATGAAAACCATATGCATAAATTGGACAGAAGACAGAAAAAGTTTAATGTCTCATTTTTATTGAAGTTTCAGTAGAAAGATAAGGAAAGAAGATGTAACCACATCAACTCTGGAGAGCTATCCAAGTTTCCATTCTGTAGAATTTTGACTGTGAAACTGAACTGTAACTTGTCTTCTTATGGGAAGTGTTTCTAGCCCTGTTCCCCAGCTCAGCTTTTCCTTAGTCTCTCTCTTTCACACCACCAGTTCTTATTCCTTAATAGTTCCTTAGAAGTCCATAGCATAGACACATGAAGCTTCTAAAAATAAGTGTTTCCTGATTTCCTCATGTGGAACCATGTAGGTATTGGGTCAGGAAGGGAGCCAGCTGAGATCCTTAGAGTCATGAAAAGAGAGGAAGAGGAAATGCATAAAGAAAAGAGGTGATGTAACTTCTTGACAGGGTGCAGGAGACAGTTATTTTATTAACCGATGTGTCATTGCTTTTAAACAGCTTGCTCTGAATTGGTAGTACTCAGCATCACCATATTTGCATTTCAAAACTGTACCAATCATAGTTTCATGGTGATTTCTAAAAAGCTTAACCAGTGGTTTTGATTTGTGGGTATAGAAATTATCAAATTTAACTTTGAGACTGTATTTTTTACTTAAAAGATTTTATTTTGCTGCAGAATTTGGACAAGAGTCCAATCTTACTTTATTATATTTCCTTGGCAGGATGTTTTAAATAAATTAAAGGAATTGCATCCTTTACCAGGCTTGATACTGGAATGGAGAAGAATTACGAATGCTATTACCAAAGTGGTCTTTCCGCTGCAAAGGGAAAAGCGTCTGAATCCTTTTCTCAGAATGGAAAGAATCTATCCTGTGTCACAGTCACACACAGCTACAGGTGATAGGAAGTGTTAAATATGAATAATGTCCAATTTTGAAAGGAAAGATTTGCATATACAATATTTGCTTATGATGGTCAAGGAACTAAAGGATTGATGGTTGAGTTCAGTGAAGTTCTACAACATTTATAAAACTTGTAATTATGCACAAAGCATAGCTAAAAACCAGCTAGATATGGAGATGAGTTCTAGTGAGATACAGTTACTGTTTTCAAGTGCTTGTACAGAATAACTGGATGCCTGAGACAGCATTTTGCATGAGAATATGGACTAGAATACGTTATTTGAGTCCATGGTCTTATCCAACTTTAGTTTCAGCCCTTTCCTGAACCTCTTAGAGTCTCTTCCAGTTGGATGTCAACAGGCCTTAGGGGAATCTTATGATTATTGTGTCACTTTACCCAAGCAGTAAATAAACCTTTTGGGTGTCTCATGACTCTTTTGGGATAGGTATGAGAGTAATATGGTGAAGAAAACAGGATTTTTTCTTTAAGCGATGAGCACAACTCTAAATGCATGCCAAATATGGTACACAGTGGAAGAAAGGACAGTTTTAACTTATTAATAGAGGAGGAAGTGCGGATTGGTGGTATAGAGTGTGGGCTTTGAAATCAAGAATCAAGGTTTGAATTCTGGTACTGTGAAACTTTAGACAAAACATAAATTTTCACTGCCTAAGTTTTCTCCTGTATAAAAGCAAGTAATAGCAGTCCTCCTTCACCTGATCATTCTGAGGGCTTAGTAGATCAATATGCACTGAGTGAACAGCTCCTAGAAAGTGCTTGTATCAGGCGCTGTGTTATTTTTTTCCACATTACCACATTATTTTTATTTGATGTAATTATTTTTAAAAATTTTATTATTACATTTTAGATATACATAATGATAACACTCATTATAGGGAATTTGTACCTGTACATTATATATCTTGCTTTTTTTCCCTGTCCCCCTCCCTTCCCTTCAACACCCTCTTCCCCCCCTTATTTATAAAAGCTTTGTCATCTGTTGGATTCCATTTGTTTTCTATGTTGGGTGTTCATCCATCATTTTCATAAGCTCCTCTATTTTTTTATGTCTCTCTGCTCTAAAGTCACAAGCCAAGTCTTTTATTGTGGTCACCATCTCTGCAGTTATCTGAGAAATTATTTCTGATTTGATTTTTTTTAGAACCTCATTCTTCTGCCTTGTTACTTCCACTTTTACCACTTCAGAGAGTCCAGGTGGGTGGCTTTGAATTATTCTGGCCACCTAGGTTCATCTTTGGCAATTTGAAAGTCTGAAGTTGCATCTTGCTTAAGTGTCTTCTCATTTTCTATTTTTTTTTTAGTTTAATTCCTTGGTCAATGCTTTTTTTCTTTTTTCTTTTTTGTCTTGCTGAGACAGGGTCTTGCTATGCAGTTCAGGCTGGCTTTGAGCTCACTTTGTAGCCCAGGCTGGTCTCGAACTTGCAACAATCCTCCTGCCTCAGCCTCTTGAGTGCTGGGATTACAGGCATGCGCCACCATGCCTGGCTCGATGCTTTAAATTTGCTTGTGGTAAGCAGATTTATTGCTAGTAGTTAGAAACCTTAGGAAATGACTCATTATCAGAGATGTCTTCCAGGTGTAGCTGGTTTGTGAGTTTTAATTCTGTGGCAAGATCCTACCCCTTCAGTTTATTGGAAATGAGAAGTTGCTGCATGTTTGGCCTAGTTCCTGGTTCCTTGGCACTGGCCTATAGTTGTTTATGACCCCTAGGCAATCTCAGTCTTGGCATACCAGGAAGAACAACTGATTAGAACAATGATGTCCCCTTGGCTAAAGTAGTATAATCAGGAATAACAATAGCATCAAACACAGTATAGAAAAATGACAAGCTGAGGTAACCGTTAATTTATCACATTTAACCATATGAACTAGACTTGTAGTTATATAGCAAAGTCTAAAACAAATCAGACAATTGTATATAGTAAATATGCTCTTAATATGTTGAGTTTACCCTCAGGGGAGAAAGTTTAAAAGGGGTTGGGGAGAGAAACAGAGAAATAGAAGAAGAGGAAAAGATTAGAAGCAAGGCTGCAGGATAAAGGAAGATTACTTAAATTTGGGGGAACTGGTGAAGAGGACTGGGTGGAAAGAGAAAAGGAAGAAATAAAAACAAGAACAGAACAACAAAAAACTTAGAAACCATGTTCACACTCATAAAAACAAGAACAAACAATCCAGAGAAAAGGAAAAACAAATTTTTTTAAAAAGATGAAAAAATGTCCATGTAAGGGCATGTCTATTCTGTCACTGGTAGAGAGAGTGGGTATATGAGCCCACATCCATGTTAATTAATCCCAGTAAGCCAGCTGTAGCTTTATGTTGGAGTAGTGGGTAATCCCAGCAAGCCTGTACCTTTTGGTCCAGTGAAGTTTAGACTGTTTTCTGGCTGTGAGGTTGCAACCTGATTTGTTCAGCCTGTAACATCCTGTGTGCTTCCTGCTTGCTTGAACTCAGCTGCTTAACCAGCATGAACTCAGTTCTGCTTCCCTTGACATTAGGAGCCTCCAGAAGGAGCCACCCTGCAGTTGCTCTGAGTTCTAAAATCACTTGGCCCCTCTCCAAGATGGCTCCTGGCCAATCACCTTCTCCTGGGGTTATCTGAACCCACATAACTCAACAGCCACTGCAATCTGCTGAGTCCACTGTTTCGTTCCACTGATGCATTTTTCCATGGAGGCCATGGGGATCACCAGTAGGCACTGGTTGTCTGCAGGTTCAAGCTGTCCCTCCCGCTCAGTGAGTCAGGCCTTGGGGAGAAAGCTCCTCTTGCCATCTCCTTCTGCATTAAGGGCTCTCTTTTTGTTCTCCCTGTGGGCTTCAGTTTTCACTTCAGATCCTTGTTAGGTACTTGGGAACACTTCCCTCCTCTTCTTCATGTTGCTATATTCTACCATCTAGACACCAAATCAGAGAGGCTGTTTTCCTACTGTTCACCACTGTGCTATCTTTCCAGAAGTCTATTTGATGTAATTATGAAATATTTTAAAATGTACAATCTCTTCTTTTTCAATCTAATGTTGAATCCAGATTTCACTTTGAAGTTCAGGCTGGGCTTGAATTTGTGGCAGTCCTCATGCCTCAGCCTCCCAAGTGCTGGTATTATGGACATGCAGCACCGTGCCGGGCTTAAAATATATAACATTATATAAAACAAAATAAAAGCAATCACTAAACTGCATGTGGTGATGTAAGACTATTCCTAGAACTCTGGGAGGATGAAGCAGGTTGATTACAAGTTCAAGACCAACTTGGGCAATTTAGTGAACCTGTCTCAAAATGAAAAATGAAAAGTAAGCTAGAAATGCAGCTCAGTGCAAAGGCCCTGGGTTCAGTCCCTAGTATAGTAAAAAACCAAACAAACCTCTAATACTACCTGTATTACTTACAGGTTTTTAAATATTATTTTTATTAACATATATTAATTGTACATATTGATGAGTTTGGGTGTGGTATTGAATATATATGTATAGCATGCATTAAACAAATCCAGCTTCCTTTTATCCACTACCCTTTCCCAATCTCAAAAAAACACTCTTTTGTTTGTGTGTTTTTTTGTGGTACTTGGCGATTGGACCCAGGGACTTGTGCCTAGTAAGTAAGTGCTGTACCACTGAGCCACACCCCAGTCCAGCCACTATTCCACATTCCAGCTGTCTTTTTCTTTATTTCTTAACTTCCACATATGAGAGAAAGCATGTGGTCTTTCTGTGTTGGGCTTATTTTGCCTCACATATCTGTCAGTTGCTGTGTTATTAAGAATGGAGGCATGAGGAGCTGCTTTTTCTCTGCGTGGTTTATCCTAGTTCTAAACACCTCTCTCTTTGCCTTTATCACTATTTTACCTTTATCACTATCATGCAGCAACTTCTCATTCCCAATAAACTGAAGTTACAGGCTGAACAAATCAAGGCTAACCTCTTGGTCCTTCCTAGGCATTTGTTTCCCTGTTGGTGTTATGCTTCACTTTGGAATATCTGCTAACGTTGTAAATTTATATAAAATACTTTTAGATAAACCTGAATCAGCCCGGAGTTTTCAAAGGTGTTATACATTCATTTGTTGCTTATGAAGTGGGGGGCAGTCAATTCTACTTTTACTATTTATTTTAGAAGTACATATTGCTTCTCGGCCTTTTGGCTAAGATCAAGTGTAGTATCTGTTCTTTTCAGTAGAAGTACACTATTTTAAGAGTTTTATAATGTTTTGTAATTTTTATAATAATGTAATCTTAGTAATTTAGACATACAAGTTTCTAAGCATGGCAAAGCTGAGAATTTGATTCTAACAATTAGAATTCATTTCTATTAATCTATATTCAGGGTTTGTAATTTATTTTCACCAACTCTTTTTAAAAAGATGGTAAATTTAAAAAATTATTTTTATTAGTGCATGCATGCAGTACATAATATTACATTCATCATGGGGAGCTGGTACATGTACATACCACGTCTTAATTCTTTTTATGTCTCCTTTCTTTTCTCTCTTTCCTCTTCTATCTCTTGATCCCTTTCCCATTTTACCATCTTTTTTTGGTCTGCCAGTGTTACCTTGTTAATTCAATGAAAGGCCACGGCAGGTGTTGATGGCTTCCTCTATTTGTTAGTTTTGAGTATCAAACAGGGCATTTGATGATAACAACTATGTAAAGTGTTACCACTAATTGAGTACTCATGATGTGCTGACAGCTAATTAAGGGTGTAAAATCATGAGTTTATTCAGAAAAACAATGTCCAAGGTACTTATGATGTCTGATTTATCAGTAAAAGGTGAAATTATGTACAATACCTCTTAGAGAGCCTATTATGGTTAAGAGGGTGTTGTGAAACCCAGGTTGTAATGTTGCAACCTATGTTATAAAAATAGCAGCAACAAAACTAATGACTCAAATTTTTGTTTTGCAGAATAGTTACACACTTTGAGTGAAAAAATCAAACGTAAAATATTTTGAACAGAGGTGGTAGGTGGGTGACTTTCTATTTACTAGAAAATTTACAAAACACCTGATTTCTAGTCTCTGTCCACCCCAGTACTGTTATTGATTCTCTTCAGTGATAACGCCAATGAAAACACCCAGCGAGGTGATGTCTGAAAGTGAGGTTCGGTTGCCACCTCTCCCTGGCCCTCCGTCTGCCACAGTAGTAAGCTTCTTTGGTCCCAGCTGTCCTTGTCCTTCTGCTCTAGACACTGATCCCTGTCTCATGACCCCCGGCTTTGCCGGCTCCAACAACTGCCGCTCCTCAGGCCCAGTCGATCCATCGTTACTCATGCGTATGACAGCCCACCTGTTGTAGTGCAGATGTCTGGTACTCATTCTAGCACAGGAATAACTTAACAACTTGCTTCTTAGAGGACTGTTTTCTAGAGAGCTAGGTTAATGTACAACATAGTATTGTAGCTGATTTATTATTTTGGAATGGAGTACTGATTTTATTGTTGCTAGACATGTGAACATTAAAAAAATCAAATTTAGTTTAGCATTGATAGAGCATTTTAAGGAAATTCAAAAATGCGAATGTTAAAACAAATGTCCATTTTTTTTCTAATTTTATGTCTTTATTCTGCATAATTTCAGGGCGAATAACCTTTACAGAACCAAATATCCAGAATGTTCCAAGAGATTTTGAAATCAAAATGCCAACCCTTATAGAAGAGAGCCCCCCTCCCCAAGCCCTAGGCAGAGGCCTGCTGCCCATGGGCAGGTAGGTTTGGTTCTCTATCTGGGTATTAAAAAACTTTTGAGAGCATGAATGGCTTGAAAATAGCCTATTATACAAAATATTGATGTGAGTTTAATTTTATGTTCCAGACATACCTTTTTTTGTTGTAGGTACTACCCCATTCAGTCCTGAGTCTGTCTGGAATGAAGCTAGCAGATATTGAAGTGCTGGAAACCTAGGCTACTGATCAAATCAACCAGCACTATAGACTAGTTTAAGTTAAATAACAAAGGGGTGGGGCTAGCAATGTCAGCGGCACCTCTGCTGCCCTCCCGCCATCCCACAGACACATGATGGGAAGAGGCAGCCCAGATCACTTGTGTGGGATTTGACCAGAGAGTCTTGTTGAGTTACCCAGCAGCAAGTTGCCTCAGAAGCAGAATGTGGGAAAGGCAATTACAAGATGCATTAATGTTTAATTGAATAGTTGCTAAAAGAGGTCTAGTGTCTTTATGAACTCTTTAAAGTGAGTTTCAGGTTGTGTTTAACCTTCTTAGAGGGAAAGATGGACTGCGCTATGAAAATCTGATACACTATTTCGCATGTTTAATATGCTTCATGTGTAACGGATAGTATTGCTTGTACCACAGAGGACAGAATAAGAGTTGTGTGCAGAAGCCTGGGCCCCAGGCGCAGATGGAGAAGGCTTCAGACAGAGGGATGCCATTTTCAGTGAGCATGCGACATGCTTTTGTACCTTTCTCAGGTAAGGTGGCTGATGGTTTTGAGCTTCTCTTTGCTGAGCGAATGTTTTTTAAAATACCAGAAAAGCCTGCCGTGTGAGTGGGACTCAGAAGTGCGCTTTGGTCCCTCCATCTCTCCTCTCTGCCCCGAAGCCCATCTTCCCTTTCCTTTGCCAGGTGTACAGCCATCATTCACTTGTCATCACGATCTGCCTTCTGTAAAGTTTCTGCTGTGGTGTAGCACAGCACCAGTAGTCTGTTTCTACAGCCATTGTAAATGCTTGCAAAACCCAGTGGGCTGTGTTAGTTTCCATCTGCTTTTACTTCTTTTAGCATTTATCCCGTTTATCAGCTTTCTCTCCCTCCCTTTCTCTTGCCCCAACTTTCTCTCTGCACACTCCTTTGATCTCTTTCTTTGTCTTGTTTTGCTCCCGTGTTTCTTCTGCCTTTCTGTGTACTCCAACTTTCTGTTGCATGGAGTGGGCCCGATATTGTCCTCATTCTCCTCAGTGTCTCTAGTCATAAACCTGTTTGTCACCAAAACATTAGAATTTGCACCTGACTCCCAGATCATCCCCACTATTAGTATGCAGATTGTTCTTTATCTTTTACCAGCTGGAAAGTCCACGTGAGTGCAGTGAGCTATCTGAATTTATTTTGAATTCTGTCAGAAACTTAATATTCCAAGGGTGAACTTAAGGTCTATGATGACACAAACAATTTCAGTTTTGTTTTTTAAGTAACAGCATACAAAGTTCAATCAGGCTTATCCAAGGGATCTCTAGAAGGTCTGTGTGGTCTGTGGTGATTTCTTAATGGGGTTATGCAATCCTGAATTTTTACTTTTTGTGTAAAGGAAAGAGCATGGCTCAATTTAAAAGTAATGTTGCATACTAGGTATAATGTGAGGGTCATTCATAATTTGAAAATTTTTAGTAGCCATGTTGTTAAGATTTCCCTCTGTATAATATTTTTAGTTTGTTATGTACCTTCCTTTGGTTATACTGGTTTACATTCCCACCAGCAGTATAGAAGATTTTCACCTACAGCCTCACCAGCATTTACTATTTTTTGTATTTGTGTGGGGTGAGATAGAATCTCAATATGTAGTAGTTTTTCTTTACATTTCCCTGATAGTTATTTCTTCATATAACTATTGGCTGTTTCTACTTCTTTCGAAAAGTGTCTGTTTATTTCATTTGCCCTTTTATCGATTAGTGATTTTGGTGTTTAACATCTTTGGTGTTAAGTTTCTTATGTTTTTTATATGCTCTGGATAATAATCCTCTGCCAGGTGAATAGCTGGCAGAGATTTTCTCCCATTCTATTAATTTTTCTTTTGCCATGCAGAAGCCTTTTAATATGCTGTGATCTCGTTTTTCACTTCTTGCTATTATTTCTTGAGGTACTGGAGTCCTATTCAGGAGGTGCGTAGATCTTGAAGTGTTTCTCCTACATTTTCTTCCAGCATTTTCAGTTTCAGACCTTATATGTAGGTCTTCAATGCATTTTGAGTTGACTTTTGTACAGGGTGAGTTAGGAATTTAGTTTCAATCTTCTATGTGTGGATATCTAGGTTTCCTACCACCTTTTCTTAGAGGCTGTCTTTTCTTCAATATATGCTTTTGGTACCTTTGTCATAAATTAGATGGCTATAGCTATGTGAGTTTATTTCTCTGTTCTCTGTTCTAGCCATTGGTGTACATATCTGTTTCTGTGACAGTACCTGTTTTTGGTACTGTGTCTTACATATATATATATTTAAATATATCTATTATACTATATTTTCTGTATATTATATATTTGTATATATATTATATATAAATATAAATATATATATTTTTTGATACAGCATCTTGCTATGTAGTTCAGCTTGACCTTGAACTCACTATGTAGGCTGATCTTGAGCTCACAGTGATCCTCCTCCCTCAGCCTCGCAAATGCTGGGATTAGTGGTTTGTGTGCCACCTCCAGAATTGCTCCTTTTCTTACAATTGCTTTGGCTAGTCTAGGTCTTAACATGTTTTCATATGAATGACAAGATGTTTTTTGTCTAGTTCTGTGAAGACTGTCATTGGTATGATGGGATTGCATCGAATCTGTGGGTTTATTTTGATAGTACAACCTTTTTGACAGTATTCATTCTTCTGGTCAGTGAATGTGGGAGGTCTTTCCATCTTCTGTGCCTGTAGTTTCATGGTAGAAGTCAGTTGCAAACCATCAATAAGAAGCTACATCTGATAGTTGGCAGATTCATCTTAATTAATTTAAATAAATTAATTAATCTGTGGATCTTGTTTGAAAATCTTTGCCCTAGTGATTCATTTGCACTCTAGTAATTATTGACATATGGTTGACTCTAAGCCTACGTCTTGTCATTTGCACCCCTCTCCTCATTTGAACATGGGGGATTGAACCCAGGGGCACTCTAATGCTGAGCCATGTCCCCTGTCCTTATTATTTAGCTTTTGAGACAGTGTCTCATTAGGTTGCCCATGTGGGACTAGAAAGAGATGAGATGTTGCCACTTGAAACCCTCCTGTCCCAGCTCCCTAAAGGCAGGAATTACAGGTGGGGGCCATTGTACTTGGCAATATTTCCCTTTTAAAAATCTGTGTATTTTTCTGAAATTAAAAAAAAATGTAGTGTATAAAGAATGCTTATTTGGCCCATTTTTCTTTTTTTGAGACAGGGTCTCTAGTTCCATAAAGAATGTTGTTGATATTTTAATAGAATCACACTGAATATTTAGATCACTTTTGGTGACTTTTAACAATGTTAGTTCAGATGATTCATGAACAAAGGAAGTATTTCTATTATCTAAAGTTTTCTTTGATTTCATGTTGGGTGTTCTATAATTTTCATTATAGAGTTTTTTTACCTTATTGGTTAGGTTGGTTTCTGGGTATTTTATTTTTCTGAAGCTATTGTGAATGGAATTATTTTCTTGATTTGTTTCTCAGTGTTATACAGGCAGGCTATTGACTTTTGGTGTTATTTTGTATGTTGCAACTTTGCTGAGTTTGTTTATCAGAACTAAGAGCTTTTTGTAAAGCCCCGCGTGGTGGGCCAGGGATGTAGGTCAGTGGCACAGTGCCTGCCTGGCAAACTCAAGGTCCTGAGTGCAATTCCCAGTACCAAAAAAAACAAAAGAAAGAAAAAGTTTGGGGACCGGAGGTATAGCTCAGTCGCACGGCGCTTACACGGCAAGCATGAGATCCTGAGTTCAATTCCTGGTTAAAAAAAAAAAGCTGGGCATGGTGGCACAAGCCTGTAATCTCAGCACTCAACAGGCAGAGGCAGGAGAGTCATCATGAGTTCGAGGCCAGCTTGGGCTACATATTTGAGTTTTAGTCCAGCTGGTATTACATAGTGAGAGCCTGTCTCAACAACCCCCAAGAAAAACAAACAAGAGCCTTTTATATAAAAGATAATATCTGTAAATAGAGATGTTTGACTTCTACCTTTTTAATTTCTTTTATTTTTCTTGCCTAAAATTTCAAAACTCTATTGAACAGGGGGATGATGTCTCATTTTAGAGGAAATGATTTCTTCTAGAATGATATTGTCAGGATGATGTTGGCTGTGGGTTTGTCATATACGGCTTATATCAATTTGAAGAAAAATCATTCTATACCTATTTTCTTCATAGTTTGTAATCACAAAGAAATGTTGAAGTTTACCAAAAGTGTTTTCAGCATTTACTGAGATGATTATGTGGGTTTTATCCTTTGTTTTATTTATATGTGTTACATAAACGCACAGTCTAAACAGGAAAAAATAATATACAGAACCGAATTGCATCATATTAGAAGCAAGGTTTTAACTTTTGAACTCTTGACCTCAAAGTTCTAAATTAAGCTGGGCATGATGGCACACGCCTGTAATCCCAGCACCCAGGAAGCTGAGGTAGGAGGATTTCTGTGAGTTCAAGACTAGCCTGGGCTATATCGTGAGTTCCAGGCCAGCCTGAAATAGACAGTGAGACTCTGTCTCAAAAAAGAAAAAGTTCTGAATTCGAACTAAACTTTTGTAAATCTGCTCAATGACATAGAAGACATTGGATTATATTATGCACAGTTTTATACTAGCCTATCTACAATCATTTCTATTTTAGGTGGTTTAATACTGGCTGCTGATTACTCTCAGCTTGAACTGAGGGTCTTGGCTCATTTATCCCATGATCGTCGTCTCATTCAAGCATTAAATTCTGGAGCTGATGTTTTCAAGAGTATTGCTGCAGAATGGAAGATGGTTGAGCCGGAGTCTGTTGAGGATGATCTGAGGCAACAAGCAAAGCAGGTAACCCTGGTGGACAAGCTATTAAGCAAGAAATCACAAGAATCTAATGGTTAAAATGTTTTGACTACCTCAGTTATTTGTAGTTGAGGAACATTTTCTCTGTCTTTGGATGTTTCCAGCCACATTCATCAGAGCCTGACTCATGGTGTTTATTATGCTTTCTTTTCTAGTGGCCATAGATAGAACCAGACAGAGGTTCTGTCTAGTTGTGTATTTGTGATAAGGAAGACTTGTGTATTCGTGATAAGAAAGACTTGTGTATTCCAGACCATAATAAGGCTTGTCACAATGGCTTGTACTCTGTAGATGCTTGTGTAAAAGTGGTAGAGATTATTGTAGTGGTCGTGGTGTTTACTTATGGGTATGTATATATGTGTATTTTAAATCTTTTTCTAGTCAGTAAATATCCTGATATAAAGTTCCATATTTTCATTTTTGTATTTCCCTACAACATCAAGCGATCAAATACCTTGTATAGAAGAGTCTCTCTAAGCATTTGTTGATAAATTAATAATGCCGAGCTTAAATTATAATTAACAGTTGGTAGCTGTTTAGCCTTTTGGGGCCGGTGAAACTTCATGTTGCCCTTGTACCTCTGAAATGGATCCGTTTGAGTTCTTAGTCCTGGATGACTTCTAGGCACAGAGAAGGTCAAAGGCCACAGGCGCGCATTTCCTAGCCTGGATTAGCACTGGCGCTTCCTTATCACGTGCACTGTGGAATAAAGGGCGCGATGATTGGCTCAGTGGAGGCTCAGCGCCCCACCTCCGCGCTCCCGCACTGTTCGTACTACTTGTGTGCTTCTCATTACTTTCTGTTGTTGTGCCTCACTGGCTCCCTCTCACCATTTTTTGTCTAGCACCAACATTTGTTTTTTCCACTATTAGGAAATCCAGTTCTGTCCTGTCAATTTTAATCCACTCTGGGGTCCTGCACTTAGCAAGAATTAAACCCTAGACAACATAGGTAATATTCCCACATTTAATTCTCATAATTAGCTCTTTAGATAGATATAATGTCTGTTCCCATTCTATAGAGGAGGAAACTGAAGCAAGAAAGTAATTTGATCAAGGTCATACAACTATAAATAAGGAATCAGGAGAAATTCAAAAGGTTATAACTTGGGCAATCTGACCCTGTAATCTACGCATTCATTCACTGGCGGTGGCCGCCTCTGTGTTGTAAGCGCTTCCTGATTTACTTGTGCACATACTCATTTAATGCATGTTGTCTTTTTGTGTTTTGTTTAATATTTATATAGAGCTTCCTTCATGCCAGACAGCTTGCTAAACACTTACATGCAGTAACTCTTCCAATCTTAATTCCTCACCATAGGTGTTACTGCCTTCATTATATAGATGACACAAAGGCACAGAGAGGTGAAGTGATTAGTGAAAGAGCATATGTCTGTGCGTGGCGGCACTAAGCTCGAACCTAGGCAATAGTTACTGCATCTCTTTAGTGTCTTAGCTTGATCTTTTCCCTGTACTGCTCCCAAAACTTCCTCAGGATTTTGTTTGTATTTAACCCAGATAAATTCTGCATTTGTGGGATGTCAGGGGGCTGTAATTCAAAGATTTATTTCCAGGGAAGTGGTCTCTACATTAACACACAATTTATTCCTCTAGTCCGGTCTATAGGTAAGTAGAGGGATGTTTATAATACTTTCTTTCCAGCATCTAGGTGCTTCTTTAATGGGGTACTCTGAGAACTAAAAAGCTGCTCTAATGACTGATGGATCAATTATAAATGGAAATATATCTTTCCTTTTAGATGGTGACTGTTTTAGTAAAACACATATACACATTCAAATTCACTTATATTTTCTTCTCTTTCATTCCTTTCTCTCTTAAGAAATAACACTAGCTGGGCATGGTGTGCCTACCTGTAATCCTAGCACTCAGAAGGCTGAGGCAGGAAGATTGCTGTGAGATCCAGGCCAGCCTAGGCTACATAGTGACTCCAAGGTCAGGCTGAACTACACAGCAAGACCCTGTCTCCAAAAAACAAAACAAACGAAAAAGTGCCAAAGCAGATCTAGGGCTGGGGATATAGCTCAGCAGCACAAGTGCCTGCCTGGCAAGCGCAAAGTCCTGAGTTCGATTTCTGGTACCAAAGCAGATCTAATCATGTCTTTAACTAACTATGGAATAAGTTTACCAAAATTTCAATCCACATGAACTGGTTATATTCACATTTTATATAGTTTTGACTTAATTTCCTTTCCTGACTCCCTTTCAGATTTGCTATGGAATCATTTATGGAATAGGAGCTAAATCTTTAGGAGAACAGATGGGCATTAAAGTAGATGATGCTGCTTGCTATATTGACTCCTTCAAGTCCAGATACACAGGTAAAGAAACTTGAGTGCTGAATGTCTTCTGGATGCCACTGTTTGCAATCCAGATTCCCCATATTAGATTAATTAAAACGTGTGTTTCAGAATTTTCTATCAAAATTTCTGTTTTCAAAAATTTCATCAGGCATGGTTTATGGCAAATAACGTGAACCTTACTTAATATGATTATTTAGTAAGATATACTATTTTTCATAAAAGTAGGGACAGAGATAGATAAAGAAACTCCTGTGATAGAGTAGTTGGATGTCTTAAGTTAGATGTTCTTTTGGCAGTTTTTCAAAGTATAATTTACATACAGTAAATTTCCCTTTTCAAGTATATAGTTCTATGACTTTTGACAAATGTATGTGGTCATATAATGTACATCATATTCAGGATACAGAATGGTCACTATAACTCCAGGAAGCTCTTTCATTTTCTTCTGTAATCAATTCTGACCCTACTCTCTTTGGCATTGACTAACCAATACTGTAAGAAGAAAAAAGTACAAAGATTTGAAAGGAAAAAGGAAATTGCCTTTTTAGTCAGATGTAATTTTATTTTGTATATATTACCATGAACATGGATTTTGCAAAACTAGCCACTAGAACCAATGACTAAATTTTGGCAAGATCCTAATCTGTAAAATCAGTCAAATTCTTATATACTATCAAATAATTAGTGATTATTTTCCAAAAAACATGAAATAGTAGGGCATAAATTTAGTAGAGTATGTGTGTTCAACACTCCAGAGCAGTCTGGAGTGAAGTGAGTACGTATGGGATAGACTGTGGTGATTTGTTGGAAGCACAATATTGTTTTGATGACAGTTTTCTATAAATTGTCATAGATTCAGTGCCATCCCAATCTAAATTTCATTAGACTTTTATGTAGAATTTGACAAGCTGATTGTAAATTTGTATAGATATCTAAAGGGCTTAGAATTGCCATAATAACATTCTAGGGAAGAAATTACAATGTTGAGGACTTACATTTCCTCATATTAAAACAATATAAAGTTACAGTAATCAAGATAGGCATAAGGTAGGCTTGGAGAACAGTTAAACACAACAGAGAGTCCAGAGATAGACCCATAAATATATTTAATTGATTTTCAAAAGTTGTCATGGTAATTTAACAGATGAAGGATAATCTTTTTGGGCCTATGTATATAGTTCAGTGGCACAGCGCCTGCCTGGCAAGTGTGAAGTTGTGACTTTGGTTCCCGGTACCAAAAAAAAAGGATAATCTTTTCAGAAATAGTGCTAAGCAACTAGATACTTGTATGGGAAAGAAGTGAACTTCAAATTTTATAACACATCGAATGCAAAATTTAACCTGACAGGATATGTAGACTTAGAAGTAATAGCTAAATGACAGATCTTTCAGAAGAAAACGAGAAATATTTTTAATATTGAGATAGGCAAAGATATCTTAAGTCATAATAACAATAAATTAACCAAATAGGAAAACATTAATGAAAAAATAAAATTATTTAAATTTTAATTAAAATAT